GGCAACAGGTAGTTCAGGGTCTTTTTTGCGAGCAGAACGTAGATGTTTTGCGAAGCGGTCGCCAAGTCTACACTTCATTTCCCCAGTGTAGAGGAGACCATATTGTGAGCAGCGAATGCAGTAGACTAGATTCTGGGAAGTGCAGGTGAAGCACTCTACTTTCTGCTTGCAAAAAAGACCCTGAACTACCTGTTGCCTGCCACTTCAACACACCACCCTGCTCCTTGGCCAACATCTCTGTCTCTGGCCTGCTGCAGTGTTCCAGCGAAGCCCAACACAAGCTGGAAGAACAACACCTCATTTTCCACTTGGGGACCCTACAGCCCTCCGGACTCAGCATTGAGTTAAATAATTTTAGGGCCTAAACTCTCCCATGTCCCAGCCCCCTACCCCACACACCAGGCCTTGTTACCACATAGCCTGCCATTACACACCCCCTGTTGTTAGTCACTAACAGTCCCCATTAACAACTATTCACCCTCCCAGCCTGATCGTTAGCAACTCCTTTGTCTGTCCAACTGTCTTTCTCTCTCTTTGGGCTCTATCCTATCGTTTACTCCCTACCCCATCCACCTACCTATTTTCTGCATATGAACTGACGTTTTCTCAGCCACCATCAGTTCTGAGGAAGTGTCACCGGACCCGAAATGTTAACTCTGTTTTCTCCTTCACTGATGCTGCCAGACCTGCTGAGGTTCTTCAGCAAGTTTGTTTTTGTTACTATATTACTAACCTGATGTCTCTGTAACGTATAATGGTGGCAGTGAAGGCACCTTGATCAATGAGCCAACCTATGCTTTTGAACATAGAACATAGAACAGTACAGCACAGGAAGAGGCCCTTAAGCCCAGCAAGTACACGTTGACCATGATACCATTCTCAACTAATCCCATTTGCCTCCAAATCATCTGTATCCTTCTGTTCCCTGTCTAATGTTGTGTCTGTCCAAATGCCTCTTAAATGCTGCTATTGTATCTCCTTCTCCCACTTCCCCTGGCAACATGTTCCAGGTATCTACCATCCTCTGTGTAAAAAAAGAAACTTGCCTTACACATCTCCTTTAAATTTTCCCATCTCATGTTAAACCTGTGCCCTCTTGTATTTGGCATTTCCACCCTGGGAAAAAGACTCTGACTATCCACCCTACCCATGCCTCTCATAATTTTATATACTTCTATCATGTCATCCCTCAGCCTCTGACGCTCTCGCAAAAACAATATAAGTTTGTCCAACATCTCTTTATTGCTAATATACTCTAATCCAGTCAACTTCCTGGTAAGAGATAGTAGGAACTGCAGATGCTGGAGAATCTGAGATAGCAAGGTGTAGAGCTGGATGGACACAGCAGGCCAAGCAGCATCAGAGGAGCAGGAAGGCTGACGTTTCAGGCCTAGATCCTTCTTCAGTAAGCCTCTTTTACACCATCTCCAAACCTTCTATACCCTTCATGTAGTGCAATGACCAAGCTGCACATAATACTCCACATGTGGCCTAGCTAAAGTTTTATGCAACATGACTGTCAACTCAGAAGGCAAACATATCGCACGCCTTCTTTACCACCTTATCCACTTGTGTTGCCGTTTTCAGGGAGCTATGGACTTGCACCCCAAGATCCCTCTGTATACCAATGCTCCTAAGGGACCTGCCTTTCTCTTTTATTTGTTCATGGGAAGAGAGCATCACTGGCTAGGCCATCATTTATTGCCCATCCCTAATTGCCCAGTGGTGGGGAAGGCATCATATCAATCACAGGTGTATATGTTAGCTGGATTAAGACTTTTACCCTTCACTCTGTTCAGGATCCAACAGCTCAGTGGGCAGGACTGAGACTGGAAGCAGTCCCTAGATTCCAAGTCCCAGAATCCAAAATCTAGGATCTGAGTACATGGGTAGGGGTGGGGGCCAAGGGTCTCTTGCAGTGTGGGTAGGTAGGGGGTCTTGATGGAGTGGTTGTTACGGGAGAGAACACCTATGGGTGGAAGACATTTAGGAGTTGTACCCCATGTGGAAAGGGGACCCTTGAGATCAAGGCTGGCCCCAGTTCCCTTGCAAGGTCTTGCCACCCTAAATAATATAGTGATAAGTCTGCAGCAGGTGGGAGGGCAAGAGAGAAAGCCATCCATGTGCTTTTATGGGCCCTCCTGCTTCGGCCATAAAATTCCCTGAGGAATTTGCAAAGGAAATGCAGAGGTTGGAGATGATGTGATAGCAGGGATGGAAAGGTTGAAGGCTGGCCTTTTAAGGAGAGGAGTGGTGAAGGCAAGTTTGAAAGAACGGGAGACAGAACCTGAGGAGATGGAACTTTTAGCAATGACATTCAGTATGGTGGCTATGGCTAGCTAGGTAGTTAGAAACCAAGAACTGGGTTTGGTGGATAGGATGAACTTGGAGGGGACATGGGAGACGATGTGAGAAAAAGTGGTGTGAAGCATGGCTGAGGCAACTATTTCTTGTTTGATGTCCGTATTTATTATCAAGTGAAAGAGGGAAAACAACAGATTTGGGAGTGAGAAAGGAAAGAAGCAATGGAAGAATAGGAATGAAGGACTCAAGAAGACTAAGAAATGAAAAGCATGATAGAAGTCATGGGTTTTGGGCTAGAATGGCAGCTAAAATGTGTACACAGTGAATGCTGTCGAAGATTATATGTCTTAGTCAGAAATAGAAGTCAAGGAGAATGCAACACGAAAGAGTCCAAATTTCATGGAATTCTCCAGAATGTCTGTGTATATTGTTCTGGATTCTGAAAAAAAATAATCTAGAAATCAAACAATCTCTGTTGGTATTGAAGCAAATAAACCACAACATAAACCGTTTAAATAGAAGCAAAAACAGAAATTGCTGTAAGAGCTCAGCAGGTCTGGCAGCATCTGAGGAACAGGTTCTGAGGAAGGGTCATTCAACCTGAAACATTAACTCTGATTTCTCTCCACAGATGTTGCCAGACCTGCTGAGCTTTTCCAGCAATTTCTGTTTTCGTTTCTGATTTACAGCATCCCCATAGTACTTTTGGTTTTTAGTTTAGATAGAAGTTTAAGATCATGGAATAATCCCACTCTTAAATATCTTAAATTCCAGCAGTACCATAGCTCTTATTCTTTCTGATATTGCAGGGTGATGATAAAAGTTTTAGGCGGGCACCATCATGGCGAAAGCGTTTTCGACCGCGAGAAATCCATGGTATTACCATGATGCCAGGGTCTACAGAAACACTACCTGCAGGATTCAGGGTTACAGCAATGTCCAGCCCAGCTCCATCAGTACAGCCGAAGAAAATTCAACCAGAAGGTAAATGAAATCCACCTTTCACCAGCTGCCTGCTGCTGATGATTCAGTCAATAATTTATAACGTGCAAAATTTAAATCATCAATTCATTGTGTAAATAAGGTGTAACTAGTTATCTGATGAGGAATCAGTTTGTTACAGTGGTACAATAAAGGTAGAGGTCAGAACTAGTTCTGGTGCATTGCAAATAAAGTTTAACTGCAAAGTAGCTGCGTTGCAATGAAATAGAACTTCACAACATAAATTAGAGCAAACATTGTTGTATTGGGCAGCATCGTCAAGACATAAATATCAAATTTCAATGTTAGAGTCATATTGCATGAATTGACAATCCTAACAAGACATTAGTCTGAACTCAAGTTTTAAAAAAATCATTCATAGCATGTGGGCTTTGCTGGCTAAGCCAGCATTTATTGCCCATCTCTAATTGCCCTGGAGAACGTGCTGATCAGTTGCCTTCTTGAACAGCTTCAGCTTATTTGATATAGGTAGATTCACAATGTTGTTAGGGAAGGAGTTTCACAATTTTGATCTATTGTATGCCAATGCAACATATGTAACTGTCCAGGATGATTTGTATCAAATACTCCAAAAGACATGAATCATAAAATTTTGAAATATTAAGTGTTAATCAAGTTCTCTAACTTCATTTCCTGTTAGCCAATTGTTCTTCATTTGTATTCTAGGGCAATTATGAAAAGAAATCCAGTTTACTTCATTCATGCAGCCTTTACATTTCCTGCAATCATTCATTGGACATCATACCACCACAAATATCATTTTTAATGATTTTTGGTGTTTTCTCCAGAGCACATTTACCTATTCAATCTTAACTCTGCAAGTGTGCATGGAGGGCTAATAAGCATGGTGAACTTTGTTACTGGACATTAACCCACTGCAAATCTCTATGTACGTTAAGCTACAGATTAGCAGCAAGAGAGAGCTGTGATCCGCGAACTCTGCCCAGGGTAAAATGTAATCTGTCTCTCTGGTTCAGCTGGGTAAAGAGCTGAGCACTGGGGATCCTCTGACTTCGCTGAGATAGATTATCTCAATGAGACCTGCACCCTAAGGTGAGGTAAAGCAACTTCAGTCATGTTCCAGCAACCACTGTCACCGTTGTGCAATTCTGAATATCAGATAAATTTCCCTTGAACTGAGTCACTTGCTGAACCGTTTCAGAGGGGACTGAAGAGGTAACCTCGTCTGGAGACACATGTAGGCCAAACCGGCTAAACACCCTTTTAGGAAAGGAAAGACAGTCGTGAACCAGGTTTTTATGACAATCACTGACTGGTTCTTGGTTACCATTATCAAGACTAGCTTTCAATTTCAGATTTTAAAAATTGAAGTTAAATTCCACTGGCTGCAGTGGTGGGAGTTGAACCCACGTCCTAAAGGATTTGCCTGGACCTCTATATTACTAGTCCATTGGTATTACTATTCTGCCACCATTTTCCCTGGTTTGAAGCTTCGCTTTCTATGTTTGTACTAACTAAAATGACTTGCTATACTTATTGCATGTTGTGTGTGTTTTCTTGTCATTTGTCATGAATGGAACATAGTTGGCACATCAGGGACACAGAGGTTAGACACATCAACAGTCCGCACTTACTCCTGCTGACAGCCAGGTCAGTCAGGGAGTCAGCAGTCATTACCAGTGAGTATGCAATTTCTACTTTGTTTTTTTCTTTGTTCTGTGCATAGAAGGGAAAATTTGAACTAATTTTGTTCACTGTAAAGCAATACACAACAGTCATAAGGTTTGCAATCTGGAATTATAATGTTGAAGAATTTCAGTCCTGATAACACTATCTTTTATGTGGCTTGTACAAGGATGAGTCTATCCAATCCGTAACGTTTCTGTATGGTACTAGTGTTGCCAACTTGTAGATAATGGTATCAATTGCCTGCAAAAAGTGTTATTACTTATAGATAAATATTATTACTAATTGTCAGCCTATTTCGTTTCTAAGTATAAACTGCAAGTAAAATATGCAGCAGATTTGATTATTGGACTAGGTGAAATCTGTTAAATGGTTAAGAGTTCTGAAAAATGAATGTCAGTCTATATTCAGGCATAAGTACTTTTTTTGATACACGTCCCAGGCAATGACTATCTCCAACAAAACAGAGTCTGGCCATCACCCCTTGATGCTCAAGGTCATAACAATCACTGAACCCCCTACTAACAACATCGCAGGGATTACCATTGAACAGAAACTAAACCAGACCAGGCATATAAATATTATGGGATAACAAAGTGGATGAACACAGCAGGCCAAGCAGCATCAGAGGAGCAGGAAGGCTGACGTTTCGGGCCTAGACCCTTCTTCAGAAATGGGAGAGGGGAAGGGGATTCTGAAATAAATAGGGAGAGAGTGGGAGGCGGATAGAAGATGGGTAGAGGAGAAGATAGGTGGAGAGGAAACAGACAGGTCAAAGAGGCGGGGATGGAGCCAGTAAAGGTGAGTGTAGGTGGGGAGGTAGGGAGGAGATAGGTCAGTCCAGGGAGGACGGACAGGTCAAGGAGGCGGGATGAGGTTAGTGGGTAGGAGATGGGGGTGGAGCTTGAGGTGGGAGGAGGGGATAGGTGGGAGGCAGGACAGGTTAGGGAGGCGGGGACGAGCTGGGCTGGTTTTGGGATGCGGTCGGAGGGAGGGGAGATTTTGAAGCTTGTGAAGTCCACATTGATACCATTAGGCTGCAAGGTTCCCAAGCGAAATAGGAGGTGCTGTTCCTGCAACCTTCAGGTGGCATCATTGTGGCACTGCAGGAGGCCCAGGATGGACATGTCGTCTGAGGAATGGGAGGGGGAGTTGGTTCGCGACTGGGAGGTGCAGTCGTTTGTCGCGAACCGAACGTAAGTTTAAACATTTATATATGATGGGTACAAGAGCAGGTCAGAGGCTGGGAATCCTGCAGTGGGACCGTAGGGCAGGATTTATACAGTTAATGGTAGGGCCCTGGGGAGTGCTGCTGAACAAAGAGACCTTGTGGTGCAGGTGCATAGTTCCTTGAAAGTAGAGTTGCAGGTGGACGAGTTGGTGGAGAAAGTGTTTGGCACACTTGCCTTTATTGGTCAGTGCATTGAGTGTAGGAGTTGGAATGTCATGTCACGGCCGTACAGCACATTGGTGAGTCCGCTTTTAGAATACTGCATTCAACTCTGGTCTCCCTGTTGTTAAACTCGAAAGGGTTCAGAAAAGATTTACAAGGATTTTGCCAGGTTTGGAGGGTCTGAGCTACAAGGAGAGGCTGGGACTTTTTTTCCTGGAGTATAGGAGGCTGAGTGGTGACCTTTTAGAGGTTTATAAAATCATGAGGGGCACTGATAGGGTGAATAGCCAAGGTCTTTTTCCAGGATAGGGAAGTCCATAACTAGAGGGCATAACTTTGAGGTGAGACGGGAAAGATTTAAAAATGACCGGAGGGGTAAATTTTTCACGCAGAGGGTGGTGCCAGTATGGAACAAGCGGCTAGAAGAGGTGGTGGAGGCTGGTGCAGTTACAACATTTAAAAGGCATCTGAATGGGTATATGAACAGCCAGGCTTTAGAGGGATATGGGCCCAATGCTGGCAAATGGGATGAGATCGGTTTAGGATATCAGGTTGGCACGGATGAGTTGGACCGAAGGATCTGTTTCCGTACTGTGTAACTTTATAACTCCAAGAGTCACTCACCACCTGACTCCCCAAAGCCTGTCCACCATCTGCAAGGCACAAATCAGGGATGTGATGGAATGTTGTGCACTTGCCTTGGTAAGTGCAGATCCAATAACACTGAAGAAGCTTCACACCATCCAGATTAAAAGCAGCCTGCTTTACTGGCACCATACCCACAAACTTTCACTCCATCCAGCTCCAACTTTCAGTAGCAGTGGGGTTTACGAGATGCACTGGAGAAATTCATCAAGGCTGCTCAGTCCATGACCACTATCGTCTAGAAGGACACGGGTTGCAAATACATAGGAATATTAACACCTACAAGTTGCTCCCAAGTTACGATTCTGACTTAGAAATATATTACTGTTCCTTCAGTGTATCTGGGTCAAAATCCTGGAACTTCCTCTCTCATTGTGGGTGCACCTGCACCAAATGGACTGCAGCAGTTAAAGGCAGGAACTAACCAACACCTTCTCAAGGACAACAGGAATGGCCAATAAATGGTGGCCCAGCCAGTAACAAGCAAATCCCATGAATGAATAAAAACAAAATTCTGCCTTTACATTAATGCATAAGTGGAAAATTGAGTATTGTAACTATTTCCCACGATGAACTTGTCTATTTTCATGCCTGAGCTCATTAAATGATGTCAGCTGTTCAATTGCATTGCCTAGCAACAATACTCTCATGCCATAGTCCACAACTTAAGGATGTCTGCTTTATCAAGGATAACAGATAAAATAGTTCATCTTTTATGGTGCCTGCATGTAAGAATATTTGTCCTTGGGATGTGGCCATCACTGAGTAGGCCAGTGGTTATTGGCCATTCTGAATTACCCTTGAGAATAACCTGACTGTGCATTTGTGAGGAGCAGTGTAGTAAATATTACATAAATCATGACATTCCTTAGAAGGTTTTACTTCTCTGCAGACTGCATCCATAGGCATTTGTCAGGACAGCTAGAAAAATATTGTTGCTGATGATCGAATTTTCCTTTCATGCCGACTGTAATCTTGGCAGCTTTTTAGTACATTAAACTCAATCGTGAAATGATATTTTCAGTATTCAGGCAGCTCTCTCACACAATGCAATCAAATTTCCTTTCTCCAGAATTACAGCTGATGGTTTTCTCCCAACCTCTATTTCATTCAACTTAGTATTCATAGGTGAAAAGTGTCCTGCTCTTGGGGATCATGGAGTCAAATAATTCCTTACAGATCTCACCATCATTTTCTTTTGGACTTACAATCTTCAGTTTTTCTGAAGGAGTTTGACCGCAGCATGTGAGGCCTGTAATCTACTTCCTAGTGAACTGCAAACACACAACTTCACTGAATACAGCAGTGTCTCCACTAAAAGGCTTGAGAATAACGAATAAATTGTTTGATGAATTGCCATGATTTTGGGCTATTACCATGGGCTCTTAAGTTACTTCTGATCAATGTTGTGACTGGATTTTGATTGACATGGAAGACAGATTTATTCTTCAATGTGAAATTATGACTTTTAAGGGTTGTCTGAATCCAGCTTTGACTGTGAGATAGTAGGAACTGCAGATGCTGGAGAATCCAAGACAACAAGGTGCAGAGCTGGATGAACACAGCAGGCCAAGCAGCATCATATGATGCTGCTTGGCCTGCTGTG